CTTATAATCCTAGCTACTCAGGAGGCTGAGATCTGAGGATTGCAGTTCAAAGCCAGCCCTGGCAAGAAAGCCTGTGAGACTCTTATCTCCAATAACTCACTCAGAAAACTAGAAGTAACACTGTGGCTCAAATGATAGAGTGCTTGTCTTAAGCTGAAGCACTAAGGGATAGCACCCAGGACAGACCAGAGTTCAAGCCCCAAGACCGACCAAAAAGAAAAACAACCAAACACGCAAAGAAAGAGAAGAAATGGAACACTCACACACTGCTGATAAGAATATAAAATCGGCCGGGAATGTGGCTTAGTGGTAGAGTGCTTGCCTAGCATGCATGAAGCCCTGGGTTTAGTTCCTCAGGACCACATAAACAGAAAAAGCTGGAAGTGGCACTGTGGCTCAAGTGGTAGAGTGCTAGCCTTCCTTGAGCAAAAGCAGCTCAAGGACAGTGCCCAAGCCCTGAGTTCAAGCCCAAGGACTGGTTAAAAAAAAGAAGAAAATAAAAGAATGTAAAATGGTACAACTATTGTCAAAAAGTTTGGCAATTTTTAACAAGTTAAAACACGTTTACCATGTGACCTAGCCAATCCCTTCCTAATTACCCAAGAAAAAAAGCTTCAGGGCTAGAGGCAGAAATTAGTGGTAGAGCAGCTGTCTAAAAAGCAAGAGGCTCTGAGTTCAAACCCCAGTACCACACATACATACAGAAAGCTTCAATGCTTTCAAAGACTTACATATAAATGTTTCTAACAGTTTCTGATACCCATGTCTTTTTATTTGGTTATTTAGGCTGATACTGAACTCTGAACCTTTCATTTGCTCAGTTTGCTAAGCAAATGATAGAACTAGTACTCTATCACTTAGGCCACACCTCAAACACAGACTTTTGGCTGGTTAAAAGCAATGGAAGGGCTGGGAAGGTGGCTCAGTGGTAGCTTGCCTCACATGCATGAGTCCCTGGGTTCAATTCCTCAGTACCACATAAATAGAAAAAGCTGGAAATGGCGCTGTGGCTCAAGTGGTAGTGCAATAGCCGGGGGCTGAAGAGCTGAGGGACAGTGCCCAGACCCAACGTTCAGGCCTCACGACCGAAAAAAAAAAAAAAAAAGAAAGCAATAGAATTGAGTCTAATGGTCTTTTGTGTCTTGGCCAGGTTCAAACTGCAATCCTCCCAATTCAGCCTCCTGAGTAGCTAGGATTACTTACAGGCATGACCAGGCCATATAACCATTACTTTTGTGTGTT